TATATATATATATATTCCTTTAATTACTATGCAATATTAATCAACACCTGAGATTTTGCAGAACGTTGACCCGGGAGAAGCTCGGCTGGAGAGGATCTGATCCAGGGTCTGTCTATTCCAATGCCTCAGTTAATAAAATAATGAAATTATAATTTATAATCAGTAAAAAAAATACAGTTCTTTTTTCTTTCAATAGAGTCATCAAAAGTAGAAAGTGGAAACTAAATACATCATTGTGAAAGACTGAATACACCTAGGAATATCATGGGACTATTTTTTGCACAAGAGTGAAGCTAATGAAGCTAAATAAGAGCGTATGTTTAGTCTTGGCATCCCTTCTAACTAAATACATCGTGTGAATCTAACTTGATGTAGAATTTGAAATAGGAATATATATGATATACAATAAAGTGTAAATTACACTATACTCCCAAGTCCCAAACGATACTCTTTCCTTTTTTATCCCATATATAAACCCTCTTTAATTTATATAATAATGTCAGACAGATTTTTCCTTATTTTTTATGCAACTGTATAAATAAATGGAACTCAAAATAATTTCACTAAATTTCAGGGAGTGAGATTATAATTTGTTCTAGATTCACCATTTTAATATTCAAAGTTGCAGCATGATGTGGGTATACTTCCCAAAAATATTAAAATGTTAAAATAATGTATGAAACTGTAAATCGTTAATCAAATTAGTCCTTTTATTAACTCTAGTTAATTAATGGGTCGAATATACTTTCGTTAAGTGACATAGTGGCTATTATGTGACAAAGACCAAATATAAAGATTAAAAATGAGAATTCGAATATAATTTATTCATTGGTATAATATATATATAAAAGTGATTCATTTGCTCATTCAATTCTTCAAGTGTATTTGTTTACTTCTTTATTCCATATGATTTTCCATCCCATCACTTTTCAACCCCAAAAATAAGGAGGATTTTTTGCATTTTCTGGACCTCGTCTTTACAATTAGTTTGTCCATTCACTTAAATGGAAAAGTGAGTTTTTTTTTCTTCAAATTTTCTAATACCGTAACCAATGTGATGTGACCCTGCTGTCGGCGGTGGATACTCCAGGGGCGAACAAAAAAAAATGTGATGTGACCATTTGGTATTAGAGATTTTACTTTCCGTGCACAAATAGTCAAGTTTCTATTAGGGAAAACTTAAAAGTTTTTGTTTTTCTTTTCTAACCTTATCCTCGTCTTTTTTCCTTTCTTTAAATTATTCTATAAATACTTTTATTAAGTGTTATATAGAACTTGAGATCACTAATTAATTAGGTTACAATAATCTTATACCAATACAAGTTTAAACAAAAAATAATAATTGATTGAATAAATTATATGATAAGTGTTTTTGTGCAAGTTATTTATGTATTTGAAGAAAATCTAATAATATTTTCGCATGCTTTCGTAAGTTATCATGTGAAGCCTATTGGGGGTAAGTTGAAAACAACTTATCATCAAGTTATACATAATTCTAAATAAATTTTATTTTTTTTACTATAACATTGTGTTTGGTTTAATCAAAATATTAACGAAATAGAGTAGAGGGAGAAAAAATAAATAGGACAAAATAACTTACACTATTTGATTAATATGAAATGTATTAGAAGAAAAATTCACATACATAAGATCCATGTCTATAAATTCCTCTATAAAAAGCAAGAGAAATAAGAAACACATAATGATAAACTTTTATTTTGACATTTTTATCCCCATCATCACACAACTCTCTCATTCCTCTTGCATCTAAATATATGAAAATAAAAGAGTCTCCATCTATTCAATAAATTATTTGTTTTGAACATGGTATTTTTATTTATAATCATCCCCAAAGTGTTCAAATACAGGTTCTTTTATTTGAAGACCTATAGAGTTTATTTGAATACATGATTTAATTATTCAAATACATGTTCTTTTATTCAAATATTGGTATCTGTTCTTTTATTTGAAGAAAATTTTATTCAAATACATGATTTTTTTAATTCAAATGAAATCACTTTATTCAAATAGATGACACTTTATTTGAATGAATTGTGTGGTATTCAAATAAGGTTGTGTGATATTCGAATAATAGGATCTTCTTTTATTCAAATAAATTATTATTTTTATTTGCATGTGCTTTGTTTTAATGATTTGCATGTGATTTACTTTTTCTTTGTTCAAATGTAATTGTTTTTTATTCAAATAGGTTGATATGCTGGTGTTTTTGTTATTCAAATAGATTTATATGCTATATAATATTAAATGGTATTTTTTTTACAAAGTAAATAATATTATAGTAACTATTGAAATGTATTTAATTAAATATGAAATGAAAATTAATAAATTATTAATTCAATAAGTATAAAATATGTAATTTAAATATTTTGTGGATTTTTTAAAATGAGAACTAAATATTTCTAAAAATGTTGTTTATTTGAATATATAATAGCTTATAAACAATAACCTATATATTTGATTGTTTATTCGAATAAACACATGCTTAAATATATATTTGTGTATATATTTATTTATTTGAATAGAAATAAAAAATATTGGTACCTAAATATAAGGGTAAAAGTGTAATTTTGTTTTAACTATAATTTTTATTCTCTTTATTTATTTAAATCAAATAACTTTATAATATTATTTCTCTTTTATTTTTTTATTTATTTTTCTCAAATCAAACAACCTTATTTCTACTCACTTTTTTTTCTTTTTTTTTCTTTCTATTTTTTCATCCTATTTCTCACTTATTTCTCTCCTTACAACCAAACATGATGCAAATAATATTACATGTATCACAAAAATGAAGAAGTGATATTACTTATATAAGTGTATAAAATAATAAATGGTAAACATATTTAGGAAATGGTACATGCTAATACACAACTAGGGGTGAGTGTCAACCCGAAATTGGAAAAAGTTGGAAGAAAAAAATGTAAATGGATAGATTTGAACAAGTTATCGGTCTAAGCCAATTAAAAAATAGTTTAAAATAGTTAATTCAGTCGGGTTCAATTCGAGTTTTTGGATCCATCGGTTAAAATTTTCAGCTTTTATGTGATGATGTAATGGGAGCTTCCTTCTTCCGCATGGTCCCTCTTTAGTTTCTTTGGGCTTTGGCCTTTGTTAAATAAATAAATAATTAATTAAATTTATTTTGATTCATTTTTAATCTTTATTTTTGATGTGTAAAAAACTTTAGTTGATAGTATAGTTTATAACTTCCTTTTTTTTATCATGTACCTAAAAAAATGTATTATAATATTTAAATTATTTGAAACTTAAATAATTTTATTCATTTTGAGTCAAAATGAACTAAATAATATTTAAATAGTTAAATATAAAAAAAATATATAAAAATTGAAAAGAAAAGAGATAATAAATTAGATAAATTTTTTATTTAAACTAATTAAATGATTCAAAGTTTAATATATTTCTTTCCGTAAAAAACCGTTCATTAAAATTAAGTTTCATCTAATCTAATAAGTCATTCGGTCAAATTCAAATATAAATAATATAATCTATAAACTATATCGATTTGAACTATATTAACCATAAATCAACCATACTCAACTGTTCATCACCCCCTGTATAAAGTGTCAACGTTTGGTCTCCTTTTAAAGGTTACAATCAGATGGGAAAAACGTTCTACGGCCAAAAATGAATTTCTTCTAATAGAACGAAAGTTGCCGGATGCCGCTGCTTCATGTCCTTTCTAAATATAAACTACACAACAAAACTAAGAATTTTACACAAACCCAATGAAAAGCCTTAGGAGTTAGGATGCACTCATGCAGTGGGATTAATATAATATCTTTCTCACCCTTTTGGCTAAGCAATTAAAATAAGATTAATAAAATAATATGATTTTTGGGAAAAAAAATATCAAATAAGGTTTTTTTTATAACTTTTTTTTTTGTGTGTGTGTGTAAATTTGACAATTGACGATGTAACGTAATATTTTTTTTTTTATCATAAATGAATTTTAACATGTGGACACGGATTTAGTTGAAAAATATGATTTGTTAGATACAAGTAACATAATTGATAGAGTTGAACTTCAGTTGAACACTGTCACTTACCCTTGGTGGTTGTTGGAAATGCAAAATATAATTGTTTACCTTTGGTGGTTGTTCGAATCCTGCCTTGTGTATGCAGCCGCGTTAAATCTTGGGGTCAGTTATCCTACCCTTTGAGGTGCCTCCAACGTAGCGAGGAGATTAGTCACTGCTGCCGGCGGTGGATACTCCAGGAATGAACCAAAAAATAAGAGAAATATATATGTAGAGAAAAAATAAATGTTAGAGAAGAGATCAAAATCTGTTATATATTACCGGGATGTTAAATTAATAAAATAATATTTTTAATATTTTTTATAAAATAAAAATTTAATCAATTTAACCTTTATTTTTATGATATCACATACACGATCATAAATATTAAATTTCAAATGAATAGAACTCTTTTCTATATATGTTATGGTATTAACATATATTTTGAATATAATTTTATAGAGAAGGGATCCTTTTACTTTAAGAGTAAGTCTATATAGATTTATTTCGTTCAATAACTCATGTTCTACATCAAATTTCAACGATTTAACTGTTCAATTTCAAGTTCTTAATGCATAGATCAAATCTTAAAATTTTTAGAAAATTTAAAAATTATTTGATACTTCATTTCATTAATTCAAATTGACGGATAATCATAAAATTATTTTATACATTGATTCAAATTAATGAAATGAAGTATTAAATAATTTGTAAATTTTTAAAAAATTTACAGATTTGATTTATGCATTCAGAACTTGAAATTGAATGATTAGATCGTTTAAATTTAATGTAGAACATGAGTTATTAAACGAAGTAAGTTTAGGATCCAATTTTATATATTAAAAAGAAGAAGAAGATGAGTTGGTCACGTGCGCACGAGCTTGGGCGAAATACTAATACCGCGGGAAAAAAAAATATAGGTGGAGTTGGACTGGACGCTTAACTGCCATGCCATACCATAAATGAGAACTCAAAATCCAAATCCTCTCTTTGAATTTTAAAATCAAAGACTCTTGATCCTTTGGTGGTTTCGTTTGATTTCCCCAGCAAAAGAAAATAAAAATTGAATAAAAAATGCAGGTGAAAGCCCTATCATTAGCCCTCCCTCCCTTTTCCAACAATCCTGAGTCCCAAAGGCAAAGGCAGAGATTGTGTCTTCATTTGCGTCCTCTTTCACACCACAACCGTTGCTCCAAATTATCACTCACATCTCAGACCCATTCCCAAGAGGAACAATCTTCTATTTCTGACACACTAACTGCACACACTATATGGGCCCAAATGAAGCACATTGCCATGTTTAGTGGGCCTGCCACTGCCCTCTGGATCTCTGCGCCCTTCATGAGCCTCATCTCCACCGCCCTCGTTGGTCGACGCAGCTCCACTCACCTCGCTGCTTTAGGTAATCACTCTTCCATATTCAAATAACTTCCATTTCACTTCTCTTTTCAAGGAAATGTTTCTTTCTGTCGCCAGGCCCTGGAACCGTTTTTTGTGATAACATGAACCTCTTGTTCATGTTCCTTTCCATAGCAACTTCCAACTTGGTTGCTACTTCGCTTGCAAAAGGGGTTCGTTTTCTGCTTTTCATTCTAGTTCATACGATTATTATACTCAAACATTGCCAATTGAGAATGCAATTGGTGAAACATTCAAGTGCAGGACAAAAAACAAGTGCAGCATCAAATATCTATGTTGCTTTTTGTTGCCTTCATTTGTGGCTCACTCATGCTTTTGTTTACGCAATTTCTTGGCTCCTGGGCGTTAACCTGTAAGTAATTCACTCTAATATTATGCTTTTTTTAACACTAGTGCACAGACACTGTTACCTCTATATTTTACTTAGTCTTTGAGTTCTAGTCTTATATTTGCAAACATAATTAAATTTTAATTTTATATTTTATTGTTTAAAAATTTAAGAATAAAACCATTTAAAAAATATATATACCAAATCAAGTTATTGTATGTTATATATTACAACATACACGTCACGTGTAGTTTATATTTTACTAGTCTTGGCCACTTCATCATTTTATTGGGCAATGCCAAAAAATGGACAATAAGATTCTTTAGATACAAGAGTTTCCTTATTAGAAATAAAGAGTATTTTTCTTTAGAGAAACTCTAAAAAAATCATTTCTAAATTTGTATTCAAACAAATTCAATGTAATATACTAAAGTCGAACCTTCCATTTACAGCTTTTACTGGGCCAAAGAATGTACATATTGTACCAGCAGCAACCAAATATGTTCAGGTTCATTTTCTGTCTATTAATATGATCACTTTTCCATCTCTTAAGTGGTAGTGGTAGCTATAACTTATACTTCTTAATCACGTTGTTAAACTAGTGACTTGACTAGATAGTTTTGCACCTCATGTTGGGAAAACAGCTTAAATACAGTTACGATGGCTAAACAAAAATAATAAATTGGCCGGGTCTTGTTCATGTTGGGAAAATTTATTTCTTAATCTTTAGTCTATATTCTGGATCCCAATACCCTAAACAAAATATCAAAAGCCCTACGTGAACACCCAATTTTGGACAAATATTTTTTATTCTACTTATTTTTTATTTGATTTTCTTAATCTTTTCATTTTAGCATAAAAAATCAATCAAAAAATTCTTTTTATTTAATTGACTTGTTTAATCTATCTTTTTACTTTTTTTTTTGTAGGAAAAAAACATAAAATAAAACAAAAGAAAAAGAAAAAACCAAAAGAAAGTCTAATGAAAAAATACCTAAATTCATAGAAATTGATTGAGAATTGTTGTAGAATCACTAAATAATCACATATCAAGGGAGTTGTTTGTGATCTTTGTCAACCAAAATATCTTAGTTCCTCAATGGGACTGACATCTCTCGAGCTGACGAGCGAAAGGGAAACTGTGTAATGTGTGTTGGTATGTTGGGGACCGTAACTGATTAGTTCCGTGTATATTGATCAATTGGGATTCAGATAATCCACTAGTGGATCAATATCGATATCGTCTCATTAGACCGCATCAATTTTAGAAGTCTATGGACTAACTAAATTAAACCACTTAAAATAGCTAATATGATTGTATTAAAAATGATGTCCTGAATTGGAAATATGAATTTCCTGACATCTCGTTCTCAGATTGATTCTTAGATCTTTGACTTGAAAGAGAATTTGTGTTGATAGATTCGTGGCTTGGCATGGCCTGCTGTTCTTTACGGACTGGTTGCTCAAAGTGCAAGGTGTGCTTCTTCCCATGCAACATCTATTAATCATCTCCGCCTGTGTCTGAAAGCATGTGAGAGTTGTTATTTCTGATGGTTATTGAATTTTGCATTTGCTCATCATATTGTGAGATTTTATATCAGTGAAGTAGTGTAAGGAATGACTATACAGGTTACAACGTATATTATCTTTATATTGAGAAACTTTCTCTCTTTGTATCTTCGTACTATACAGTATGTGCTTTTGCACAACTTTTCCTGTTTGTCTCTTCATGTTTTAAACATAGCTAGACTCGGAGCATTCTTTCATTCATTGTCATATACAACAGTTTCATAAACACCATAGTTAAATTATGTGATAAAACTATTTCCATGTTTTTATGAATCTAAAGTCAAGACTTCTAGTTGCATGTTTACAAACTGGAAATTGCAATTGAAATTTTGCGTGGACATACCATTCATGATACCATTCATGACAATTTAGCTAGAAAAGGAAAATAACATTTAGACACCTAAAATGGTATTTGACACCTAGGGATATAGAGATAAAGGAGAAAAAGAAATATAAGAATTATAGATGGTATAATCTGATAGGAAGAGAGGTATAGAAAAATGATTGTTGTTGATTAGATGTTTCAGAAAATTGAGTGTTTTAAAAATTATTACTCGCTAGAAAATTCATCTCTTTTGGATGGAATTTAAAGTAACGCTGAAACCAAGTATCCTAATTTGCAATAGATGAATGCATTTCACAACATTTTTTGTTGTAAGTTTGAATTACTGAGACTACCTAGCCAGTCAATACCAACAAGGATGTTAAATAAATCAGTATTTATGTTGTCAAGTTTTAATCTTGATTTAGTCTTGGCATGAAAGATTCGTGGGGACCTCTGAAGGCTTTGGTCATTGCCAGCACTGTGAATGGCTTTGGTCATGTAATCCTATGCAGTTTTCTGCGGTATGGTATAGAGGGTGCAGCATGGGCAACAATGGCATCCCAGGTATGTTAAAGAAGCATTTATTAGTACGAGAGTTGGATCAATATTTTGTCCTTTTCTTTTTTGGGCTGGCTCATTCTTCCAATACCTCATTTGTCTAATTTCTTTGCAGATTGTAGCAGCTTTTATGATGATCGAAGCACTGAACAAGAAAGGATACAATGCTTTTGGTTTTTCATTTCCATCGTTCTCCGACTTCCTGCAGATATTTGTGATTGCTGCACCTGTGTTTGTGACGATGTTCTCAAAGGTAAATTAGGTCCTTTCTTGTGCTGTACTTAACTGGCTTGCTTGTATGTATATGCAGCTTAGATTCTTTCAGTGTTCTTAGGTGGCTTTTTACTCCCTTCTTACATATTTCGCCACAGCTAACGGTACTCATACAGTTGCAGCTCATCAGGTTGGCTTTACTTACAAAGTACATTTTCGTTGCCATATCCTTTTATGCATTGCATGGGATCAGTCTTTCATATATTAATGATCAATCCACAATTCACTAGGTTATGATTCAAATGTACAGCATATGTGTAGTATGGGGGGAGCCTCTTTCTCAAACCGCACAATCATTTATGCCTGAGTTATTGTACGGGTTCAACCGAAGTTTGAAGAAGGTTGGTAAAGTTCATACATTGTGAGAAAATATATGCAAATTAACTCATGTATAAACTAATTTTAGTTTTTAGAAAAACTTATTTTATTTTTCTTATTTTGCTTTCTTGAAAGTATTTGTAGAGAAGTTCATCGAAAAGGTTATGCGAAAATTGACTTCATAAATGGGTATGAAAGTTGTCACTTGTTTTTCGTAAGTGTAGCACACGATTTAAAAATGACGATACACTTATCTTCTGTTTTTCTCCCAAGTCCCAATACACTGTTAATATTTCATGAGAATATTTTAACAATGTTCAAAACGCTTTGTTATTCCATGACTTAAATTTATGTCTGTTCAAGCACATCTATTTCACTACTCACTGACGAAGGATATCTTGAGCTAATTATACGGAATGAAAGGATCTTGAGTCTTTGCACCTGAAAAAAAAGGACCTTGAGTTGTCCATCTGTCTTTTAAATGGAGCAGCATGTTTTCTATGGCCTCTAAAGGTTTAGGAATGTTAAACAGGCACGAATTCTGCTGAAGTCACTGGTGATTATTGGAGCATTGCTAGGACTAGTAATCGGTCTTGTAGGAATGTCCGTTCCTTGGTTATTTCCAAACATATTTACCCCTGATCTTAAGGTCATACGTGAGGTTAGTTATTCACTACTTAAATAAGTTACTTCATACGCTTTTACTCTTTCTGGCTACGTGGTCTTTACATTTTTAGCAGTATCCTGTAATAACTTTAATCGCTGGATACAAATGACTAGTGTTTGTTCATTATGAAAAAAACTCAAGTTTTTGCTATACTGACCATTTGCCTCCAGGTCAACTTATGCTATTGCTTGATTTGTGTCGCAATCTTTGGATTTGAAGGAATCAAGGAAATAATAAGGGGATAGACAGAGAAGGGGGGAGAATATACTCAAACTTCTCTTTAGAGACCCACTTGATTTATATTTTTGGTTTTCTTGACAAATTGTAGATGGATATTTATAGTACCTCATGATACAGTGGTCTTAAACACGGATTGAAACTGCACAACTCTTAGAAACTACAGTACCCATTTCTTTTGTTGTTTAAGGTTATAAGTTATAACATACAAATTAATAAATGTCATTAAATTTTTTATTTGTAGCAAAATTATTTGTTTTAATATACCTTATATCTTGTTTATTACTCTACATTCTCTACATTTTTGTTTCACTTTTTTTCTTGATAAGTGTAAATGGAAATGTATCTAAAACGTTTGATCCGATGAGATTAAACTTTTACAAAGAACGGAGTTATTATCAATTTAAATAATTATTTCCTTTTTTTGTTTTAATCGATAATTCAGTTGTGTTTTAATGCAGATGCACAATGTGTTGATTATGTTCTTTATTGCTTTATCTGTGTCACCCTGTACTCACAGCCTCGAGGGTACATTATTGGTATGTTAGATTTTTCCTTCCATTTTAATAGTTTCAAATGTCGAACTTTTGTATGAATGATGTGCTCTTATCCTGAGAATCAACTCTAAAAGTTAAAGTAGTTGTAATTCATTTGATGTATTCTAATGTGGTTTTCTATTCCTTGTTAGAAGGAATTCTGAGGTTTTTTTTTTCTTTTTCTGATCGGCTCTAATAACATATTTGATGGTTGTTCTCGTAAATATCAAATAAAGCGGAATGAAAATTTATGCATGGTAGATCCTATCAAATCCCTAAATAATTGTTGTATCTTATTCCCGTTGCTCCCAAAACTATTTCGTTACTGATATGCTCCATTTGCTGCTAAGTTTTCTCCGTGTATTATGCAACGGCATTTAGGTTCATATGAACATGCAGAAAGTAATTTGTTCTTATATTTTTTTTTTCCCTCATGCAGGCTGGCAGGGACCTTAACTTTATTAGCTTATCAATGAGTGGATGCTTCTCCCTCGGAGCCCTTTTACTATTGGTATATATGTCTACTTATAGACAGCATTTTCTCCTAAAGTAAATTTTGATGTAGCTTGAACTAATGCTTCTTTCTTTGTGTCAGATTGTGAGTAGTAGAGGCTATGGTTTGCCTGGTTGCTGGTGTGCTCTTGTAGGATTTCAATGGGTAAAGATTACGAAACAAACTCAACCTTTAAAGTTTTAAGGATTAAGCGTGTTTTTAGTTCATGATCTTTGTCAATCTTTTTTTTTTTTTGAAGTTCCTAAACAAATTTTATTTAGATTTAGTCCTTGAAATTTTTCTCCAACAAAAAATTTTGATGTCAAAAACCAAAATGTTAATGAAAGAAAAAGTTTAAGAATTAAAAGGAAAAATCGACAAAAGTTCAAGAATTAAAATTAGTTTTAAAAAAATCAGCAACTAAAGAAAAAAAAAATGACAATTTCATATGCTAAAAGCACATTTAATTCTAGTTTTTAATTTCCCGCCTCTCTAAATAATAGGAATTTTTTCCAGGCTCGATTCTTCCTTGCTCTCCGGCGCCTTTTCTCTCCTAATGGCGTTCTTTACTCTGAGGAAGACCAGTTTGAACTTGAAAAAATGGAAGCTGCTAAGTTGTGATTTTTCCACAAATTGTGCGTGGGAATTATTCGTGTACCCCAAGTTTTTTTCTTGCTAGATGTGTGACCTATTTAGCTGTCAAATTGTTTCTCATGGATGTAAAATTTTGTAGTTCAAACTGCTATTGTTAAAACCAGCAATGTATATAATGATGAACGAGTGACAACTAATTTGGATACCAGTACCAAAGGAAAATTCCAGGCTATCGCAGCAATACCTATAATACAAAATGCTTACCTACGCAGCACTTTTTTTCCCCAGGTTTTTATTCATAATGATTCGAAGGGGTAGAGTGCAAAAGCAAGTTGTTGCAATTCTAGCTGTAAAACTAATTTTATTTTTGCCACGGCATGTGGTAATCGAATCCATGTGTATCATTATTTGTATCAACATCTATTCAACACGTAACGAAACGTGAATATATGTAGTGTGTATATATATATACTACATACACGCTACGAGAAAAATCTAAATTATAGTTAGCACCGTGGCCGACACTAAAATTGTCGAAGTTAATCCAGTGTTGACTTTGTGTGGCCAATGCTAAATTGAAAAATATGAAAACTTGACACTAACATTAGCATTTGCTTGGTTGACACAAATTTAAATGGAAGATTATAGTAATTTGCGTTTATCAATAGAGACCAAGCTAAGATAACAAAAACGACTCTACTAAAAACAGTGGATAATACAAATAATCAATAAAGACTTAAGAATATCACCTTACATCAAATGAATATTTAATACTTAATATAAATATACATGTTTATATCTATTAACAATATGATACATATGTGCATTGACGGATCCATTAAAAAGAGAGTGGGGGCACATGCCCCATTACCATTATATATATATATATATGA